CTGTCCCCAAAGTTCATAAGGGCCAGGTACGGTTAATGACTAAGCTGAGTTTTGAGATGGAATAGTTTTAGGGCACAGATGAGGAGGGAAAATAGCAGTCTCAAATAGAGAGAACTAGTTCACTCTTTGACCACTTTCTATTGGCATCGCTCTGGGGCTAGAGATCCTCAAGAAATGTTATACTCCTAAAAATAGCATTTTAAAGCGCCCAACATCTTCTAAGAGTAGTTCTCCAAGTATGATTACTACTATAATCTTTATTTAAATGTAAATAGTTAGTCATATGTGATGGTAGTTTCATTAGCTCTATGTGGCACAGTTGATTTTTTTATTCCCCTGGCGTAATTATTGTTTTCCATTTATCCTGTTTATAAAACTTCCCCTTTTTATTTAAATCACTAAAAAAAAAAAGAATGCAAAGTGTACATAGTGGCTTCATGATCTTCTTATCAGGATTTTGGACAAACAATCTAAAATTCTGAGTTTAAATTAAATTAGTCTTCCTTGGGAAGTATGATTTATTGAGATCTCCTGAGGGCTAACAGTGTGTTTAGCTTTGCAGGAAGCATAAATGAAAAACTTTCCTGCCCCATCAATCTAAAAAGGCAAATGGACCAGTTGCAACTAGAAAAACATTCACCCCCACAAAAACAAATCATCCATTAAAGAAGCCCCCTCAGCCACTTCCCCAACCCCGAGTTGGAAGTGAAATCAGACACAGTCAGTAATAATGCAATTCCATGATCCATGAGGTTGAGGAAAAACAGGATGCCTGGCTCTCCATGTGCCCTCACCAGCCCCATACCTTGTCCATTTTTTTCTAGGGGAGGGAGATTAAAAAGCAGCAACCTCCCTTCACCATAATGTCTCTACTGCTACCAACTATAAGCAACTCACAGTACAGAAGCTCAGGTTCAGTCTGAACAGCCCTCAATTCGATATTAATGCTAAGGGCCATTGGAGAGGGTGCATGTCCTAGACCAGTGATGGCGAACCTTTTGAGCTCGGCATGTCAGCATTTTGAAAAACCCTAACTTAACTCTGGTGCCGTGTCACATATAGAAATTTTTTGATATTTGCAACCATAGTAAAACAAAGACTTATATTTTTGATATGTATTTTATATATTTAAATGCCATTTAACAAAGAAAAATCAACCAAAAATATGAGTTCGCGTGTCAACTCTGACACGTGTGTCATAGGTTCGCCATCACTGTCCTAGATTCTATTCGGGGACAAAGAAAAAAGGTACAGATTTCTCAATTCTTGGCTCCTTCCCTCCTCTCTTTATTTCCTTCATTCCTTCTCTCTGTTTAGGGGAGTTTCTAAGACATTCACATCTTAGCATCCTGGAGCTTCTGAAAATGTCCTTAGAGGGCATCTAGCCTCATTCCACAGAGGAGAAAACAAATGCCCAGAGAAGGTAACTGCCTTGTCTGAGAGCACACTGCTCACTAAGGGTGGAGCCAGGACTAAGACCTAGGACACCTAAATCTACACCACTGCTCTTGTACTTAGCCTTGGTGATGATCTCTCCTCTTTTCCCATCAGGGGAAGGCAGTATGAGGAAGCAGCCCCTGCATGCTGAAGGAAAAGACGACTAAACAAAGTGACTGGTGTTATTGGAGGAAGCTTTTCTGGCAATTTTGGTAAGGATGAAAACCAACTGTGGGGACACAGACTCAATCCCTAGCTCTCCTCAAGGAAGCATTTATGTCCCTGTGAACTCAGGAACAAATGGGCAAAGCAATATCATGGGAATGTTGAGTAGGAACCACTTGCAGACATAGGAAAATTCATTTCTTAACAATGAATGGTCAGAACCAATGCTCAAATCCCAGTCAGGAATCAAGAATTATCCAGAAACAAGCCATTGGGTGGAGAGAGGCTGACTGTGGACAGTGGAATGACCATGAGATGCAGGAGCTGCTCCCAGGACTGACAAGTGGGAACTGGTCACACAGGGCACAGGCACCAAGTCAGCTGTGAAGGGAGAGTGACCCTGGAACGGAAACATTCAGGATGGATACTAAACATACTAATTTTCTCCCTACCCAGTCATCTGCCTGAGATTATATAGTTTGTGGAGAAATGCTCTGTGTGCTTATTGGTTTTTAGAGAGAGGAATGGAGAGAGAGAGAGAGAAACATCAATGTGAGAGCAACATCAACCGGTTGCCTCCAGGGATCGAACTCACAACCTAGGTATGTGCCCTGATGGGAAACCGAACCTTTTGGTGTATGAGACAATACTCCAACCAACTGAGCTACACTGCCAGGGTGAGAAATGCTATGTTTTAAATCTACTTGGAAGAAACTTTTTATTATTGCAGCTCTATTGAACTTATGTTTTAAAGGATAGATTTAAAACTGTAAACTTAAAAGATTTTGTTTTCTTTTCAGAAAGTGTCAGCTCTATCATCTTCCACTGACTGCTTAAGGGGCCTTCTCTTGAGTATGGGTGTGGCCAGGATTTATGTTCCTGGCTGGGAGGAAATGCAGGCCAGGCCACATATTGGGCAAAAACAGCCAGGGGCCACCTGTATGCACTCACCCCTTCTTCCTGCCCAGAACAAGGATGTGATGGCTATACTAGAGGCAGTGGTTTTGTGACACTGAGGCAACCCTGAGGGTGGAAGCCAAAAGTTAAGGATGGTGTAGAATAATGATCAAAGGAGCTTCTACACCACACCAGCACCACATCCTCTGGACTTAATTTTTTTTAATGTTAGAGGAAAACAAACTCCTATTTATCAAATCTTTATTTTTCTCTATTATCTGTAGCTAGATACATGTCCTAATTAAAATATAAAACACATAAATATACATCCTCACTTGTCAAGGAGTCCCGACATTGAAGAGTGCGAGTGAAATCATGAAATATTTAATGAGAAAAGAAAGAGTAATAAAGGCTATTGATCCCAGTGGCACTAAGAAAAATTCCAACTCAGAGATTGCAATAAAAATAATGGAGAGGAAGACATCCCAAACCAAATTACCTGTTTCCCTAACAAGAGAGGTGCTTTGTTGTGACCCAGAGGACTGATTTGAGAGTTATGAATTGAGAAAAGGCTTTGGGCAAGGGTTTTATACAAACCATTCTTTAAAAAAATATAGTCTCTGGGCAAAACTGAGAGTTCGAAAGAGCATGCTCTGATGTTAGGAATGCAAAAGCTTCAGGGAGTAAATGCAAATCACTGAAGCATTATTCTCATTATTACTAATGGTTCTTAATAACCATGAGTCTCCAGTTGGCTGAAACAACCAGAAACTGCTCCTCGTATCCATGTTAATAACTAATGAAATTTGACACTAAACATAATTTCAGATATACAGCTTTCTGCACAGTCTCTTATTGCAAAGGAAAGCTAAACCAGAACATCAGTAAAAAGAATAACCCAATTAAGTGTGTTTCCAATTGGGAACTATTTAGAATTGAGAGTTTAACAGGATAGTGAGATAATAAATACTGAATTGTTTTGTCCTGATTAAAAAGATCAGGATTTTACCATAAGACATCTTTTTTTGTTATTTTAAAATAAGTGCTTAATCAGTCTGAATGACTGTGGTCTTCTATATAGTGATCTTAATCACTGTAAATTGGTCAAGGCCTAATTTCCCACAAATAGATTCACACTTGTGATTTAATATTTAATACAGAGGCAACTTTTTATATACTCAGAATGTGTTTATAGACATAGTCCCAATCATTTTTTAAGCATATATAATAATTACGATCTCTGAGGAAATTTGCCCAACAGATGAGTTGGGGCCACCCCATGGATCCAATAAATGTGCTCTGAGCCATTAGCCTTCAGCAGGTATTTGATAAATGTTTGTTGAATGAATGGGTTACCTCAGATTCTTCAGAGAAGATCTTCTAGAACAGTGGTTCTCAACCTTCTGGCCCTTTAAATACATTCCTCATGTTGTGACCCAACCATAAAATTATTTTCGTTGCTACTTCATAACTGTAATGTTGCTACTGTTATGAATCATAATGTAAATATCTGATATGCAGGATGGTCTTAGGCAACCCCTGTGAAAGGGTAGTTCGACTGCCAAAGGGGTCGCGACCCACAGGTTGAGAACCGCTGTTTTAGAAGCATTCGTGCTAATAAAGCCTGAGCTAGTTCCCCCAGGCTGAATTTCCATAGGGAAAGTAGTGGCATAGCTAGTCCTGCAGCCAAGGTAAAAACAAATTCCCCAGAGAAAGTCTCCACTGCTGGAGTTAGAGGATGTACTATTGTTAAGGATACCTTTGGTGAGTCCTACTATTAACACAAGGGTAACACAGATGACCTTCTCTACATGCATAGATGGGACTGATGCCCGAGGGACTGTGAAAACAATTCTGAAAACAAGCATTTAAACCATACTTACTGCTGGTGGAGGATATGTGGCTGTAGTCAGACCTGAAACACAAAACCTTGGTATTAGTAGGATTAAAAAATTTTTCTTTAGCCAAATAATTTCCCTCAGCTGCAATTTTAAAGTCAGTGGCAAGTAGCACCTAGCTAATAAAAAATGCCACAAATTAAAAACTATTGTGTTAGCATTGCTTGTGCAAAATAAATTTAAGTCTAAATTTGAAAGCAAAACTTTAAAGGCACTTTAGAAATCAGGGGTCCTTTAGGTTTTGGCCAAGATGGTGGTATAGGTAGATGCTGCACTCACCTTCTCTCATGACCCCATCAAAATTACAACCCAATTATAGAACAATCAATCTGTATAATCATCTGAAGCATAGCTGAACAGACATCCTATAATTAAGGATATAAAGCAGAAACCACATAGCGACTGGTAGGAAGGGTAGAGATGCAAAACAGGCTGGCCCTGTACCCATCTGTGGTGATTGAGAATCTGAAGGGATATTTCAGCTGCAGAGGTCCCCCCTTAGAAGCAAGGGACTTTTGCCCCACACCAGGTCCTTAGCCTGGAACACCAGTGCCAGAAGAGAAGCTCACAAAACATCTGGCTGTGAAAATCAGCAGGGATTCCATCCTTTGAGTGAGATGGAAGGCTGTCCTTTTCAAGGGCTAATGCACAAACTCTCAGTCACAGGGCACTAAACTTGGGCTTCATGAAAGGGCATTATATCAGGGAGTGCCACAGATATACAGGGAGAAACTTAGTTGTATGACTTCAGGGCAAGGGTTGGAGGGACAACCGCCACTCTCCCTGTTTTGAGCCCGCCCTGCACACAGCCTAAGCTGAATCTACATTAGCCAGGTGGACTCCACTAGCTCTACCCTGACTTCCCGAGACACCCCCCTATCTCACCTGCATAAGACCCTGAATAGCCACAACAATCTTGAGAAAGAAGCACAAAGTTGGAGGGATCACAATACCAGATATCAAATTATACTACAAAGCCACTATAATCAAAACAGCCTGGTACTGGCACAAGAACAGGCATACAGATCAGTGGAATAGAATAGAGAACCCAGAAATCAACTCAAGCCACTATGCTCAATTAATATTTGACAAAGGAGGCAAGAGGATACAATGCAGTAAAGACAGTCTCTTCAATAAATGGTAAGGGGGAAATTGGAAAGGTACATGCAAAAAAATGAAACTAGACCACCAACTTACACTATACTCAAGAAAAAACTCAAAATGGATAAAAGAATTAAATGTAAGTCATAATAAAAATCCTAGAAGAAACCATAGGTAGCAAAATCTCACACATCTATCACAGCCATATGTTTGCTGATACATATCCAAGGAAAGAGAAACAAAGGAAAAAATAAACAAATGGGATTACATCAAACTAAAAGCTTCTGCACAGCAAAAGAAACCACTGAATGGGAGAACATATTTGGCAATGATACATCTGATAAAAGGGTTATTTCCAAAATATATAAAAAACTCATACAACTTAACAAAAGGAAGACAAACAATCCAATTTAAAAAGGGTCAAAGATCTTAATAGACACTTCTCCAAAGAAGACATATAGAGAACCAAGATGGTGGCATAGGTAAACAGCGATACATGCCACCTCCCACAACAACATCAAAATTACAACTAAAATACAGAACAGCCATCATTCAGAACTGCCTGAAACCTGGCTAAATGGAAGTCCCACAAATAGAGAAATAAAGAAAGCACACCAAGACTAGTAGGAGGGGCAGAGGCACAGAATGTGCTGGTCCAGCACCCACGTGCGGCATTTTTTTTCCAGCCAAGAGGGATATCTTGGCTGTGGAGGCCTCCCATGAGGAGCGAGGGGTCCCAACCTCACACCGAACCCCCAGCACAGTGTTCCAGAAGAGAAGCCCCCTGTAACTTTGGGCTGTAAAAACCAGCAGGGATTGTGGCTGAGTGACACAGAGGCTGCTGGAGACCCAAGCAGTTCCTCTTAAAGAGATGGTGCATGAACTTATACAGTTCAGCTTTCTCTGAGCTCCAGCTCTGGGACAACAGCTCGGGGGGATCCAGGGACATAAAGGGGGGAACTAGATCATCTAGCATCAGAGCAAGAACTCGGGGATGACTTTCTCCCAGAGTGGGGTGCTCAAAGGGGTCATTGTTACTGTGCTGACACCTCTCCCATCACAGAGCTGACTGGCAGCCATATATGAGTTTCCATCAGCCTGGCTAACACTGTTTCTCCAACCTGGTGATCCACTGAGACCCTGCCCCATCCAATTTGAAGCCCTATCCAAGCTGTTTGCAGTGGTCTTTTTATATAATTGGCCTGTCCTGGCTTAGGCTTCACACTTTCCTAAAATCTCTCAAGAAAGCAGCAGCTGGCGTCAGCATGCTCCATACCTATCAATAAGTGGTGGCCATCTATAGGTCGCTCTGTGGCTCCTGCTGGGTTACCCCAGGCAGGGGCTGACTTTACACCTCCCGGGAGGCCTCAGAGCCAGTACACCCAATGGGCAACTTCAGACCATACCAGATTACAACTCTACACATCCATAAGTGACACACTCAAAAGGCAGACTCAGTGAGCACCAAAGCCCCACTGAAGCAAGTCCTGCTCTGTAGGGGTGTTTTCTTCATCGCAGCTCTTCCACTGTAGTCACAGCTGGTCCTCATAGCCATTTGGTCTAGAGGTCAATTCCTCTCAGTGACACCAACAGCAATTAAGGCCCAACTACAACATGACTGCACACAGCCCACACAGAGGTGCACATAGAGTGCCCAGCTCAGGTGACTGGGGAGGCTGAGCCACTGGGCCCTACAGGACACCTACTATACAAGGCCATTCTACCAATTTCAGGAGACATAGCAACTCTACCTAATACATAGAAACAAACACAAGGAAGCAACCAAAATGCAGAGACAAAGAAACATGTCACAAATGAAAGAACAGAGGAAATCTCCAGAAAAAGAACTAAAAATAGCAAGCAAACTACTAGATACTTTGATATTGTTCAAAACAATGGTTATAAGGTTGCTCAAGGATCTTAATGAGATCTTCAAGGAACTTAGTGACAACTTCAAGGAACTTAGGGAGAACATCAATGACACAGAAAAGAACCAATCAGAAATGAAGGATACACTAACTGAAATAAAGAATGATTTATAGGGATTCGTCAGTAGAGTAGAAGAGTCTGAGAATCAAATAAAGGATTTGGAATATGAGGAAGCAAAAAACACCTAAGCAGAAGAGCAAAAAGAAACAATAATCCAAAAATATGAAGATAGTGTAAGGAGCCTTGGGAACAACTTCAAGTGTATCAACATTCGCATTACTGGGGGTGACAGAAGGAGAAGAGATAGAGCAAGATATTGAAAACTTATTTGAAGAAATAATGACAGAAAACTTCCCCTGCCTGGTGAAAGAAATAGATTAACAAGTTCAGGAAGCATTCAGAGTCCCAAACAAGAGGAACCCAAAGAGGCCCACACCAAGACACATCGTAATTAAAATGCCAAAGGTTAAAGACAAAGAGAGAATCTTGAAAGCAGCAACAGAAAAGCAGTTGAAGAGAAGAAGAGATATGAATAAAATACATATCTATCAATAATTAAATCTAAAATAAAAAAATGAACAAGGAATACAATGAACAAAATAAACTGATAAATAAAATGATCCAGAAACTTTGGAATCTCAGAGGGAAGACAGGGGAGGATGGGTGGAAAGTGACCAACTAAAAACTTTTATGCATATATGCATAACCCATGGACACAGAAAATAGTGTAGTAGGCCTGGGGGGTTTGGAGTGAAGGGGTCAATGGGGGAAAAAGTGGACATCTGTAATAGTTTTAACAACAAAGATAAACTTTCAAAAAAGAAGAAACGGAAAATCTGAACAGACCAATTACTACCAACGAAATCAAATCAGTAATAAAAAAAAACTCCCAATAAACAAAAGTCATAGACTGGATGACTTCACAGATGAATTTAAAATAAAAATTTTTTAAAAATTTATTTCTGAGAGAGGGAGAGGGAGAGAGAGAAACATCAATGATGAGAAAGAATTATTGAATGGCTGCCTCCTGCACCTCCCTCCCCCCCGCACCACCACCACTAGGGCTCCAGCTTGAAACCCAGGCATGTGTCCTGACCAGGAATGGAACCCTGACCTCCTGGTTCATGGATTGATGCTCAACCACTGAGTCACACTAGACAGGCAATTTTACCAAACATTCAAATAATAATTAATATCTCTCCTCAAACTATTCAAAAAATTCAAGAGGACTAAAGGCTCCCAATCATTTTAAGATGCCAGAATTACTCTGATTCCAAAACCAGAGACTTTACAAAGAAAGAAAATTATAGATTAAAATCCCCAATGAACATGGATGCAAAAATCCTCAACATAATATTGTTAAATTGAATTCAGAAATACATTAAAAAGATCATATACCACAATCAAGTGGGATTTATTCCTGGAATGCCAGGTGGGTGTAATATCAGCCAGTTAAATAATGTGATACACCACATAAAAATAGAAGATAAAACATATGATTATATCAATGCATGCAGACAAAGCACTTGACAAAATGCAGCATCCATTTATGATAAAAACTCTTAGTAAAATGGGAATAGAGGGATCATACCTTAACATAATAAAGGCCACATATGGAAATCCACAACTTACATCACACTCAATGAGGAAAAGCTAAAATCAGGAACAAGACAAGGATACCCACTTTTATTCAACATAGCAAATCTTAGCCACAGCAATGAATCTAGAAAAACAAAAAGGCATCCAATTGGAAAGAAAGATGTAAAACTGTCTGTCATTATTTGCAGATGACATGATACTGTATATAGAGAACCCAAAGGATGCCACCAAAAAACTACTAGAACTGATAAGTGAATTCAGTAAAGTAATAGGGTTCAAAATGAATAGTCAGAAATTTGGTTGCATTTTTATACACCAATAATGAACTACTGGAAAGGAAAACTAAAAAACAATCTAATTTACAATTGCATCAGAAAAGTACCTAAGAATAAATTTAACCAAGGAGATAGAAGACCTGCGCTTAGAAAATTATAAGACATGGAAGAAAAAAATTGAAGAAGATACAAATAAATGGAAGCATATATAGTACCATGTTCATGGATAGGAACAATTAACATGGTTAAGATACCCATACTATTCAAAGCAATCGAAATAGATTCAATGCAATCGCTATCAAAATACCAATGGTATTTTTCATAGAACTAGAACAAATAATTCCAAAATTTATACGGAACCAAAAAAGACCCTGAATAGCCACTA